GTCTCATACAATATTTGCCCTTTTGTGATTGACTAATTTCAATTAGCCTGATGTTCATCCATGCTATGAAGTGTCTGACAGATTCATTGCATAGTGTTCCATTGTACGTATGTACCAAAGTTTGTTTAACCATTTTTTTGTTGATAAACATTTAGTCTGTCTCCATTTTTTTTTTCTTTCTTTCTTTGTGAATAATAGTGCTGCAGTGAACATGAGTGTACATATATCTATTTGTGTGACCACTCTTATCTATTGAGGATATATATGACAAGTACAGGGATTGCTGGGTTGTATTTCTGTATTTCTGGAGTCCTGGTGTGATGCTGTGGGTTAATGCGCCAGACTGCAAAGCCATTTGAACTGCAAGGTCAACAGTTGAAGCTCACCAGCTGCTCCTCGGAAACCCTGTACAAGGTCACCATGGGTTGGAACCTACTCGACGGCACTTCACAACAACAACAACAGTTATTTCTATTTCCAACTTTTTGAGGAAGTGCCATACCATTTTTCATAGTGGTGTAGGAGGGTCCCAGACTCTCCACATCCTCGCCAGTATTTGTTGTTTTATATTTTTTTGAACTTTGTTATCAATGCTGGAGGAAGATGATATCTCATTGTTGTTTTGCTTTCTATCTCTCTAATGGCTAATGATCTTTATTAGTGTAAAGGAATACAACTGATTTTTGTATGTTGATCTTATACTCTGCCACTTTGCTGGATCTTTCAAAAAGTTTCAATAACTTTCTTGCTGAGTCTTTGAGATTGTCTATGTTTAGGATCATATAATCTGCAAATTGAGTTTTCCTTCTTCTTTGCCAACTTGGATACCTTATAGTTCCCTTTCTTGCCTAATAGCTCTAGCTAAGACTTTCAGCACAATATTGAGTAGGAGTGGTGATAAAAGTCATCTTGTCTGACTCCTGTTTACAAAGGGAAGACTTTCTGTTTCTCCTCATCCCGAGAGATGTTGGTTGGTTTTGTACAGATGGCCTTAATTATGCTGAGTAATTTCTCTTCTATTCCTATCTTATTGAGTGTTTTTATCAGGAATGGGTATTAGATTTTGTCAAATGCTATTTCTGCATCAACTGATATGATCATGTAGCGTTTTTTTTTTTTCCTTTACTTTATTTATGTGGTAGATTACATTGACTGTTTTTCTAATATTGAGTCATACCTGGAATGAATCCCACTTCATCATGATGTATTATTTTTTTGATATGTTGTTGGATTTTGTTGAGAATGTTTCATATATGTTCATGAAGGATATTGGTCTATAATTTTCTTTTTTAGTGATGTCTTTGTCTGGTTTTGGTATCAGGGTTATGCTGCTTCATAAAATAAATTTGGGAGTTTTCTTTTTCATATATTCTAGAATAGTCTGAGTAGAATTGGTGTCAGTTCTTCTCTGAATGTTTGGCAGAATTCACCAGTAAAGTCATCTGGGCCCAGACTTTTTTTAGTTGGCAGTATTTTCATGATTTGATCAATTTCTTCTTTTGTTATAGATCTGTTCAAGTTCCCTACTTCAGTCTGTGTTAGTTTAGGTAAGTCATGTGTTTCTAGAAATTTGTCCACTTCTTCTAGATTTTCGAATTTGTTGAAGTACAATTCTTCATAGTTATTATCCCTTTTATTTTCATTGGTTCTGCTGGGATGTCACCATATCATTTTTTATTCATATTCTTTACATCTTTTCTTTTGTTAGTTTTGCCAATGGGTTGTTGGTTTTATTGATTCTCTCAAAGAACCGTCTTCTTCTTGTGTTGATTCTATTGTTTTTCTGTTTTCTATTTCATTTATTTCTGCTCTAACATTTATGATTTATTTTCTTCTGGTAGCTGTAGGCGTAGTTTGCTTCTTTTTTTTTCTAATTGTTGGACATGTTGCATTAAAATGTTGACTTTGGTTCTTTCTCCTTTTTGAATGTGTATGTTTATTGCTATAAATTGCCCTCTGAGCACTGCTTCTGCTGTATTCCAAAGGTTTTAGTATGTTATGTTTTTGTTTTCATTGGATTCTGGGAATATTTTATTTCATTTTTTATTTCTTCAGTTATCTAGCAGCTTTTAAGGAGGATGTTACTAAATTTCCATGTACTTGATTTTCTTCTCCTTGATCTTATTGTTGATTGTTGTAATCTGAGAAGACACTTTGTAGTATTTTGATGTTATAAATTTTATTCAGGTTTGTTTTGTGGCCTAACATATGACCTATTCTAGAGAATGTTCCGTGTACAGTGGAAAAGAATGGATATTGTACAGCTGTTGGGTTGAGTGCTCTATAATATTTCTACGAAGTCCAGTTAGTTGATTGTGTTGTTCAGTTCTTTGTCTTTGTTGAGTTTCTTTCTAGTTGTTTTGTCTTTCATCAAAAGTGGTGCATTAAAATCCTCTACTATTATTGTAGACTTGTCTACTTCTTTCTTCAGTTCTATTAGAGTTTGATTTATTATTTTGAGATTCTTTCATTAGGAACATGGGTATTTATTATGGTTATGTCCTCTTGTTCAATTGACCCTTTGTTGTTATCGTTAAGTGCTGTTGAGTTGGTTCCAATTCATAGCAACCCTGTATAGGGTTTCCGAGGAGTGACTGGTGGGTTTGAACTACCGACGTTGCAGTTCAAACTGACCTTGCAGTCAAGTACAGTATCCTGCAGTACCACACCAGGACTCTACTGACCCTTTAAACATGACATAATATCCTTTTTTGTCCCTTATGCTGGTTTTTGTCTTAAAGTCTGTTTTATAAGAGAATTAATATTACCACTCCTGCTTGTTTTTTATTGCTGTTAGCTTGATATTTTTTTTTTCTGTCCTTTGATTTTTAGTCTGTTTTTGTCTTTGTGTGTAAGGTG